CAATTTCCCAAGTTGCGTAGCAGCCTCAGGTGCCCAGGACCGTGCAGCAGCCTGTCGCAGACCCTTCTCTGGGCTCTGAGTGGCTCTGCTCAGTCGCTTCTCTTGGTCTGCCGCTTCCTGCTTTGGGAAGGCCTTCGCCCCGGCCCCCAGGATCCCAGTGGGTTGAATGGAAGTCGAAAGGGGTGTCTGGGCTCCAGAATTGACGCAGGTGCCTGGAGAGCTCTGGCCACGGACTTGATCTCCTCGATTCTGGGCCAAACACACAGGAGTAGTTTGGAGTCTGGTCCCGTCCTACTTTCTGCCTGAGCGGGACCCTCTCAGGACTCCCTTGGGTGTAGGTGGGGACAGGACCGCTGAGCCCCTAGTCAGAAGGCCGGTCCCCTCTCACTGCAGTGGCCTCTCTGCAGCCTCTCTCTGGGTGTGACTGGACCTGCCATGGCTTGAGTCACCAAACTGGCTGTCTTGTTACCACCAGAGCTAGTGTGGGGTCCCGGTGAGGAGGGCAAAGGAAGGGAAGGAGTCCCAGTACTGTCCACGAGGGCCACAGCCACCCCCTGCATCCCCACATTACCACCAGAGCTAGTGTGGGGTCCCGGTGAGGAGGGCAAAGGAAGGGAAGGAGTCCCAGTGCTGTCCACGAGGGCCACAGCCACCCCCTGCATCCCCACACCTCCCAGGGTATGGTCCCCACCTAAGTCCGGTGGACACTCACTGGGGTGCTGGCTGACCTTGGGGGGACACAGAAGTTGACAGGTGAACAGTGCGTCAGCCTCTCTCCCGGGAGGCAGGAGTGCTGCCCCCACCCATGTCACACCCCTCTGCTCCTCCTCCAGCTCAGACAGCCTGCCTCAGCGGCCCCTGTGCTCCTGCCACCCTCACCTCCAGGGTCCCAGTGTAGTGTGAGAAGAGAGAGGTGCATCTCTGGCTTTGGGGACCCTGCCAGGTGCCCTCCTCCAGGTGGGGGTGGCAGGCGGATGCATCCCAACACCTAGCACGGCTCCGTGAGCATTCATGGGACGAGGAAACGTAAGCCCCACGGCCCCCAGGGAGCACACACCTCAGGTGGAGCCCCAGTCGATCCCAGGGCCACCCCCAGGGGAGCTGTGGGGACCCTTGGCCGAGTCACTGGAACAGCTTTCTAGGCCCTGAGGAGCTGCTAGGTGGGAGAGAGCTGGGGTCCCCAGCCCGACAGCAGGGTGGAACCCCGCTTCCCCACGTGTGGCCTGGGGCCCTCCCATGTCCCCATGGCCCTCGAGTCCTGGTCACTGCCAGCCGGGAAGGTGTTGAGGAGACAGTGAGCTGGAGGTGTGAAGTTGCTCTTTCTACCTGGGGGCAGGGGGAAGGGAACCCGGGCCCGTTGGTGCCAACTGGACACATGTCCCGCCAGAAATCCCTCTTGCTGCCTCCTGCGAGCCTCACCCTGGTCTCTGAAAGTCAAAGTCAAGACAAGGACATGGAGGCCCAAAATGTCAGGAAAAATCAGGCTGCACCTGTGGGGCTCGGTGTGGAGGCCACACCTCGGCCTGTGCCCACCCTGCCCAGCCTGGTCCCCTTGCCGGCTGCACTCTGGGCCCAGGTGGGCACTGAGCTGGGGGCTTGGCCTTTAATGACCCACCAGCCCACCTCAGTCCCTGGAGTTTGTCCATCTGGAAGATGTCTTCTCGTCACCATCGTGGGTCTGAGCAGTGGCCTGAGGTGGGTTAGAGGGTGGAGGGGGGTGTGGAGGCCGAGATCTCCAGGGTGCTAGTGGGTCCTTGGAGGGAGGCAGGGGTCACTGTCCGGGGGCTCTGCCTCTGTCCACTCCTTAGCCGGCACCCGGGGTCTGGAGGCGGGTCCCTCCTCGCCCTGCTTCAGCCGCCTGCAGCTGCACACTCAGGAGGCCACCGTGGGGCCCGGCCGGCACGGCCTCCGCCCAGCTCGAGGGCCCGGACGACGCTTGCTGGCTGAGCAGCGGGGCCAGCTTCTCCCCTGTGCCCAGCCTGGCCCGAGCCCCACACCCCAGCCCGGTGTCCCCAGCTGGGGAGGAGCAATTAGAACCCCCTTGTCCCCAATTGGTTTGTGGTATTAAAAACGAGTTGTGATCAGCCAGGTTGTCATTTCTACCTGATAAAGCATCACTTCTATTGATCCCGCTCAGCCGGTGCGATCATCTGTCTCGCTTCAGCATCTCACAGAATGGCTCGTTTGTCTTGATCAAAGGGTAGCCTCCCTCGCGTGTTTAACCCTCGAGGCTCCGCAGCCGTGCTGCCCAGTGCTCTCCGCTCACCGTCCTTCCCTTGACACCCCACCCTTTGCTCAGGCCCTGTTCTGGGGACAGGAAGTTCAGGAGGGCAAGGACCACCCTGCCTGGGGGTGGGGGGACAGGGAAGCAACTGGAGGGGAGGAGTGAAGGGGACGCTGGGGACATGGGAGCTGGAGCCCAGGCGTGGGGGGGTCTCCGTGGGGCTGGGCCATGTGTCCTACCTACCCTTGCAGAGCTGCTCCGGGAGGCGGGATCCTTGAGGCTGGGGGCTCACCTAAGTTGCTCGCTGTGTGCCGGTGCTCACCCACCTCCCGGGCTCACCTGCGCTTGCTCATATTCCCAGCCCGTGGGCGGCCAGGCTCCCACTCCTCCTGCTAGTTTCTGGCTGAAGGCCCTCAGCCCACCTGGCCCTCAAGCCTAGCTCTGTGCTCCTGCCCCACCCCCCAGGTCCTTGGAGCCTTTGTCCTGGTGCCAGCACCTCCTCCCAGGTGCCCGCACCTCCTCCCAGGTGCCCATACCAGCCTGGACACTCTCACCCTGATCCCCACGCCACAGAGCCTTCGGAGTGCCCAGCAGACAACACAGGCCCAATCCTGCTGGCGGTGGGCGTGTGTGGGGGACTCTCACGATCTGGCTTCTGCCACCCTCTAGCTGCAGCTTAAGGCCCCCCATACCTCCCGGCCACCTGAGGTTTTCCTCAGCTTCCCTCTGCCTGCTCTGCCCCAAGCTCCTCTAAGACTCAGCCCCAGTGTCACCTCCTCCAGGAAGCCTGCCTAGACCACTGCAGGGACAATCAGTGCCATTTGCTTCACTGCAGCCTGTAGCACAGGGCGCCAGTGCTGGTGCTCCTGGGCCTGGCTCAGCCCCAACATCACTCTTTTGGCTGAGATGGGGGTGGCTGACCTCATGGTTCTGCAGGGGAGGTTATTTTGGCCTCATGGCCCTGGGTGCAGTGGTGGCCGCTGCTGTTTTTGTCCTCTCCCGTCCTCCTGTCTCAGGGCGCTGTAGGGTCTAGAAGCTGGGGCTGTGGGCTGCTCATCTGGCGTCCCCACCATGGCTTGCTGCCGGGCACACTGCTGGCACCAGTAGGCATTGGGGGAATGGAAGATTTGAGCCCAAGACTTGACAGCAGAGGCGGTTTCCTGCTGCGATACAAATGCCAGCCACCCCCTTTCTGCACCTGTTACCCCTCCTGCCCCAGAACCTCCCCAGTCAGCTGTGCTGGCCGCTGAGCCCCCGTGTGACCTGCTCCATGAAGCAGGCTCTTAAGGTGGGCAGGAGGAGGGGGCGCCACAGCAAATCCTGGCTCAGGGGCTGCAGGAGCCCCGGATAGTGGCCCCTGCCCTTCCTCCCCTCCCTAGCCCTGTTTGGCCTAGATTCTGCACCAGCAAATAACTGAAATTACTGAAGTTGGGGTCTCCCCAGCCCACAGGGGTTCTCTGGCCCCACCCCCTCCTCCCTTACCCACAGAGGGCTTCCCGCAAGGCTCAGCCAAGGTCTCCATCCACCCCTGCAGCCCATGGCATGGGGCCTACTTGTCCATGTAGTTGGACTCTGGGCAGCCACCCTCCAGACTCGCCTGCACAGAGCAGGCTGCTGAATAGGGGCCCTGAGACCCCACAGCAAAGTTTGCTGCCTCAGCTGGATCCAGGCATGGACGGTGTGGTCAGCAGCCCAGGCTCCGGCTCAGGGACCCGCACCCTGACCCCTCGCTTGAGGGGGCTTGCAGCGGACTGAGGGAAGAGTTTGCAGGGCTCCTCCAGTCCCAGTCTCCACGTGCAGCCCCCGCTGAGTCGCGGTCGCTCAACCTCTCCTGCATCCCAGGGAGGGGGTCTTGCCCCCTCTGCTCTCTGCCAGTGTCAGTCCAGGAGAGGAAAGGGGAAAGGGAAGCCAGACAGGGGTGGAGAGAAAGAAATGCTCTGGCTGCCGCCGTCAGGGCCCCTGGGCGCTGCCAGCATGTGCACGTGTGCAGCTGCCACTGTGTGCACATGGCCCTGCAGCCCCTTACACACGGGGGGCCTGGTAGGTGTCACAGCCCACTCCCCGAGCTGCCCTGCAGTCCCCTCACTGGGGTCCCCAGTCTCAGCTGGGCACCCCCTTGCAGGGGTACAGGAGGTGGAGGGAAAACAAGGGGTTTCCCTCTCCCCGGCAAGTGTCAGGCTGCTCCGGGGGCTGCAGCCGCATGGGCGGGGCACTCCCTAGTGGGGGCACACGCACCACTTTCCCCACCCCCCAACGGGCAGTCAGGACTGTCATCACCCTGCACAGCTGTCAGTCAAGAAGATGTGTGTTGAATGAATCAGTTTGTACCCCCTGAGGAGGGGTCTGCTATGTGGCAGCCTTCATTCCGGAGGCCACGGCACTCTGAGCAGGCTTTGGGGGTCATCTTCCACCTCCTCCCCTCCAGGAGCACTGCCCTGGCCACATGGAGGCCCAAGCTGGTCAGGTGAACGACCTGAGTCACAGGCTCAGACCGGCTCTCAGGTGAGCTGCACCAGGAAAGGAGCCCTTATCCTGGGGTTGGGTCTCCAAGCCTGAAGCCACCCCAAACCCACGCTGGCCACCCCATCCTTTCCTGGCCCGAGGCTCAGTGCCCTGAGGGGCTCCACTCGATAATGCAGGGCCAGTGAGGAGCCCTGGCCCAGATGCTCCAGTTCTGGGACCTGGACACAGTGAGTGGACCCCCCTGGGGGTCTCCAGGGAGCGACCATGTGCCACACATGGACACTAGGCAGAGTCATGACTCCGGACCACTGAAGACCTGTACAATAGTTCATATATTTATTCTTAAGCAAGTTATCAATAAAAAATTTAATACTAAAACGCCTTTACATAGAGTTTGCTGCTCATAAAACCTTTGTGTTTTTTTGTTTTGTTTTTAGTGTTTACATTGAAAAAAAAATCCAACCATCCTCTTAGTTTACACATTTACAAAAATCGTGCTTTCGCCACGTTTAACCACGGTTAGAGGGGTGGGGGCGACGCCATCCGCGAGAACGCGAGAGCAAGGGACGGGCGGAGGGAGGGGAAACAGAGGACAGGAGGACACCCAGCAGCAGAGGGGAGAGGGCAGGCAGCCAAGGCCGGGCTTCCGCCGCGCTCCCGGGCACGTGGGGCTTGGAACAGCCTTAACCCTGTGCCGCGCGTCTTCACCGACGGCTCTGGTCCCTGAGCCGCCAGCAGGACCCGGCCGGCCAGCTCCCCAGATGGCTGCCCGGGGTGAACTATTGCACTCGTGCTGAGACCGAGGGTGGACTTGGGGCTGGGAGCGGGACAGCAGGGGCGGGGGACCCCGCCTCCCACGAAACGGCCCCCTCCCGCCCTCGAGCTTGCTGGGGAGCCACCAGGAGCAGCCTTTGGGGGAGCTGGGCAGCAGGCGAGAGAAATAAGGCTCTGCAGCTGGGATCCCAGGTGGCCTGAGCAGTGAAAGGCCCCGGGCTGGGGTGTGGGGCACCCACGAACACCTCTGCTTCCCAGGGACCTTCCTCATCCTAGGAGCAGTGGCTGACTTGGGGGCTTTCCTGCATGGTGGGACGTGGGGCACGTGGCCCCCAGCACACCTCTGAGGACGAGGGCTGTTGTGCGCAGGGGTGGCCTGCCTCTCCTGGCTGTGGGATAAAGGACGGGGGCCAGGGTGTGAGCTCTGGGGTCGGGAGGGCCCTCCTCCTATGCCCCAGGCACAGCCCACCTGGCCTGCCAAGTGGCTGCAGAAAAGTCCCCTCCATCGGAGCCGGGCAAGCAGAGGGACCCATGGGAAGGGGAGGCACGGCGAGGGCTTCCTCCTTGGGCGGGCGCGGGCGTGGCCTGCCTTGTGACTCTTCTTCCCCACTCTGGCCCCAGCACCTATGGCCTGGCCTGGCCACCACGGGAACCAAGCGGGCTGGCAAGGTCCTGGGGCATAGGGAGGGTGTCTCGGGTGGGGAAAGGGGCATCTTTCACATCCGCCCACTTGATGGCGAGCAGGGAGTCGGGTGGAGCCCTGGGCCTCCCCAAGTGGGCCGTGCCCCTGCCCTGCTGCCGCCGGGAATGGAGCGTCGGGCTGGCGGGGCCGGCACAGCGACCTGCTCCCCCAGTGCGGCGAGGACACAGGGAGGGCTCGACCCCCCTCTGTCAGACAAACTGGCCGTGGAAACGGAAATCAGAAACAACTTGGACTATCCAGGAAATAAAATCAAGACGCCACTCCTTCTCACTGATACTTTAGCAGAGTTGTTCATTTTTGTCTTGCTTTAAGCAGAGGTAAGATACGTGACCGCCACCACACTCCAGGGCCGCGTCTGCTGCTCCCGCCTCTCAGCTCTGCTTCTAAAATCCCTTCCTCCCTGTGGGACCCTCAGCACTGCCCCTTCCATCCTTTTTTTCCCCAGATGTACCAAAAGGAAATAAACCCCAGTGTGACCTTCCATCTTATGTCATCGTCCCAAGAGATGAGCAGCTGTGCACAAGGGGCCCCGCCACCTCTGTCGTCACAGGCGTGCGAGCCGGCTCAGCTAGGCTGAGAACAGTGCATTTCCAAAGAAACTCCCAGAACAAAACCCCTGCACGCACGCACATGCACACACACACACACGCACACACCCTCGTCACACAGGTGGGAAAAAATCCTTTTCCACTTTTTTTCCATAAAACTTCCCCGCAGAAATACAATATTTACACAGAGAAATAAATAGACAACACACCTGATTTCTGCTTTCCCTGGTGGGAGACAGTCGGAGGTACTAGGGAAATATGGCTTGGATTCTAATCTCACATGAACTGCCGGTGCGGAAAACAGACAGCAGCGCCGGGGGCGCCACGGGCCCTCCGCAGCGGGGGTGGGACTGGGTTCCGATGCCTAAGAGCTCTCTCTCCAGGGAAAACCATAGAAACGCCTGGATCTCGCCTTGGTGGGCTTCCATATTTGCTCAGACCGGCCCCTGGGAGGTGTGGGGCCTCCTGCCACCCGGGGCTCCATGTACCGGCGCCAGGCAGGGGATCAGCACAGGATGGGCACGCCGTCCGGCGTCACCAGGCGCCCGGTGGTGGGGTCATAGGTGCCCGCCAGGTAGTAGAGGTCCTGCCGGTCCTGGTACTTGCGGCTCCGGGCCATCTGCTCGTACTGCTCGCGCCCCACGACCTGGCACTTGTGGGAGATGGTCTGCACGTCGTTCTCGTCCTCATGGCAGGACTGGTACAGCGCATTCTGCAGGTGAGAAGTGTGCAGTCGGTGGCCAGCCGTGGCCGGAGCACCCCCACCAACCAGGGAAAGACCCTGTCTGCTCTGGAAGGGTCACTCGGACAAGACCTTTCACTGTGTGGCTGGAAGAGGGCGACCGGCCAGGAGCCCTGAGTCTGCCAGGGAGCCTCTGTCAGAGCAGGAGAAATTCCTGTTTGCTCTGAAGTTGGACTCGCTGCGCTGTCTGAAAATGTGGTTTCTTCTCAGGGCAGAGCAGAGAGTGCGTCTGGGGCATTTACAGTCTCCGGCTGGCATTGGAGGCAGGGAACAGAGGGCCCACGGGACAGGACAGGGCTGCTACTGATCCCAGGCATGGCCTGGACCCGCTGTGGGTCATGGTCTCCACCGCCCCCTGTAAGTTGACACCGTCACACATCTTACAGGGAGCTGCAGAGATGCCGCAGGGGAGGACATCTGGGTGACTGCTCCCCTTACTTTGGCTGGTGGCTGAGATGTCTCTTTCCCAGAGCCCCCTGGAGGGGCCGGGCCCTCCCACTGTGCTGGCCCAGCTTACCTTCCCGTCGCTCTGGCGCTTCCCCAGCTTGGTCTCCTCAGGGTGGTAGAACCACTTGACCTTGACCACCATGTTGCTGCCCCATGACTCCCACATGCTCTCGATGCGGCCGATGTAGGGCAGGTTGGGCCGCCCGGCCGACAGGAAGACCGCACAGTCCCCAGTGCGCAGCGTCTCCTTGCCCCGGACGATGGCCTTGTAGAACAGCTTCCTGGCCTTCCCCTTCATGCCCCGCCGCTGCAGGGGAGACACGAGAGGCAGGGGTTGGGGCGGGGGCTGGGAGCCTCGGTGCGGCGAGCAGGAGGCACAGGAAGGAGTGCAGGAGAGACAGATGGCGTGTGGCGTGTGTGTGTGTGTGTGTGTGTGTGTGTGTGCACCTGCAAGGACAAGAAACAGCAGCACACTGCGGGGAAAAGACCGCTGCAGCCTCAGATCCTGGAGGATGTGGGCCACGTGTGGATTCGCCCTTCCCACTGGTTCGTGACATCAAGACCATAACTGACTCTAAAAGAAGGCTGGATCCGAGAGCAGGGACGCATGCGTGAGATGTTCACAGCAGTGTTGTTTACAGGGGGGAGAAACCCCAAACCAGAAAAACACACCAGGAGATGTTCAGTGCAGTGCTGTTTATAGGGGCAAAAAAACCCCAAACCAAACACAAACAAAAAACCCAGGAACTGTTCACTGCGGTGTTCCTTACAGGGAAAAGAAAACAGGAGCCACTACACGCCCTCCCACCCACACCAGAGTGCTGCTGAAGAACAGTGTTCCCACGTCCACGCAGCGGGGAATTCTGCAGCCCTCCCAAAGCTGACCGTCTGATTTATCAACATGGGAAGACGCTCACATGACGCTGCCATGTGCAAGAGGGACACGTGTGGCAGGGCACAGGGCCTGAGTCCTGCATGCAGGCCATTTGTGTGACCAGGTGCACAGAAGCAAACCCTCACGGTGGCTACTCGCTTCTTTGGACCACAGGTGAGTTTTTGCTCTCCCCTTGAGTTTTCCAAACTTTTTACTTGAAACTAAACAGTACAATGAAAAAGGAGGGGAAAGGGAGCTGGGCAGCAGGAGCAGACGGGCCTCCTTGGGAGCTGGGGGGTCCTCCTAGGGGACCCCTCTGCACACCTACCTGCGTGGGGCTCCCCGACCACTTCCAGAGCTGCCGGGCCGGCAGGAAGGCTGAGATCTTTGGCCGGTTTTCCACGGAGGGCAGCCGCTGCCTCCGGGAAAGCTCTTTGGCTTTGGAGAAGCTCAGGCCCTCCTTCCGCGTGAGCTTGGACTGGCCGCTGCTGGGGCCCGCGCCGGCCACCGCGGCCCTGGACAGGAAGCAGCGCGGGGCGTGCGCGTGGGGGCCGCTCCCCTTGGAACGCAGTGCCTCGGGCTGGGCCAGGAGGGCGGGCACCGGGTGGGTGAGGCAGGTCTGCAGCAGCAGGGCCGGGTCCTCGTCATCCGAGCTGTAGGATGAGTCCTCGTTGTCCGAGGAGCAGAGGCTGGAGGTGGACACGGAGCCTGAGGAGGAGGAGGTGGACGAGCCGGACGAGGATGAGGACACGGACAGGCGGGTGAGGAAGCGGGAGGGCACGCCGGCTGCCAGCCCTGGCCCGTCCTCATCCTCGTCCGAGTAGGAGCTGTGGCAGTCGCTGTCGCAGGGCAATGGGTACTCGGCCTGGCCCGCGTACTTGCGCAGCGCCAGGCCCATGGGCAGCGGGTGGACAGGCGCCCGCCCCTTCTTGTCCTTGCCCACGAGGGCCGGGTGCACGTAGCTGGGGCTGGGCAGGGGCCGCCCCAGCTTGGGGCCGAAGTCCTTGTCCCCGACGAGCAGCGCCCTGCAGCTCTTGGTCTTGGGGGAGGTCACGCCCTCGTGGTCCAGCTTGACCAGGAACTCGCCGGCTGTCCGCCGCCGCCCGCCCTTCTCGACCTCCGCTCGCTCGGCCTTCTTGGCCCGCAGCAGCCTGTGCGCCCCCCCGGGCAGGCCGGGCCCGGCCTCGCCACTGAAGGGCGAGTAGGAGCCGGCCAGGCTGCTGAAGGAGTCGGCACGGAAGCCGTTGCCGAACACGGGTGCCGCCACGCCGTGCACGGGAAACAGAGCCTCGCGGGCCCGCAGCTTCTTGGCGCTGCCATTGAGCTGGAAGAGGTTCTGCAGCACCCCCGGCCCTTTGCCGGCCGAAGCTGCAGCCACCGCCTTCCGCTTGGTCTGCGCCACCGCCGACCAGCTCAGCAGGGGGCTGCCCCGGCGCCCCAGGAAGTGGTCTGAAGGTCCCGTGGGGGACTTGGCACCTGAGGTTAGGAGTTCAGCTTTGCCTGCGGGGCGGGGGGAAGGCCGGGGAGGGTCAGTGGTACCCACTGGGCCCTCGAAGCTGCCCCACCCCTCCCTCCAGGGACCCCCACCTTGCCCTGTGAGCCTCCCAGTCCCCCCACCCCTAAGGGAGGGGTGCCTCCCTGAGCGAGGTTCCCATCAATTCCGCAAATACCAGCTTTGTCTTTGCAGATGGATTTCTTTCCAGGGGTCTTTGAGGCTTCAGAGCCGTCCTGTGCTTTGGGGGAAAGGCTGGGGGTGGTGGCTTCACTGGGTGGGGGGGCCTCGCTGGATGTTTTCTTGGTCTTCCGACAGCTGCTGGACACCAGCAGGGCTGGAGAGGGCTCTGTGCCTGCAGAGGGAGGGCAGAGGGCTTTAGCGCCATGCCATGTGCTGACTGCCACCCCAGGAGGCACTCCTGTCCCACCCAGGCAGGAGGGGGCCATGGGGAGCTGATGAAGGGGGGTCGGGGTGCTCACACTGGATCTTGAAGTCTGGAGGCAGCAGCCTGATGTTGGAGACGGCGATGTGGCCGGTGTCCCCGTCATCAAACTCCACCACCACGGAGTCCAGGTCTTCCTCCTCGTCACTGGAGGTGCCTGTGCACAGGGTACTCCCTGAACCCACGCTGCACCCCACTGGCTGTGCGGGTGGCCGAGACAGGGAGTCCACTCCACGGGAGGGGGTGGGGGATGGGGTGGCTCCAAAGAGCCTGACAAATGACACTAGGACTATTGTGCTCCCTGGTCACATTCGACCTTGGAGCTGCCCTGGCAGCTCCAGGAGCTCTCGGTAGTCCCTCCGCCTCCTGCGGTGCGGCTGGAGAAGCAATATTACCACCATCCATCACACCACCCTGGGCACACACGTGGCCCAGACCTCCCTCCCTGCCATGTGCACGCCGTGAGCAGCACAACTCTCAGAGAAGTCACACCTGGAGGCTGCCCCCTCCCAGGGTGCCTGGCAGGCCTCCTGCCACCTGCCCACTCACCAGGGGGACCCTTGAGCCTTCCCGCCCTAGGGGCCCCACATGACTGCCATGGGGTCAGGAGGTTTTGCCCTAGGTGAGCTGGTGCCCATGTGGTGGATTCAGGGGTCCCTGGCACCGGGCTCTGGGTCCCTTCCCTGCCAGGCCTTTTCTGCTTAGCCCGGTGGGAGCCTCCCCACCGCCTGTCCCCTCCTCCTCACGGCACTGGAGAGCCCATTCTGCTGTCTCGCTCTGTTTAAGTGGAGAGCCGGGTCTGCTCCGCTCCAGCCTCCAGGGCACATATGGACGGCCTGGGGAAGCTGGACTGTGGCAGGCAGGGCCCTCTTGGGCACTCTGCATCGCAGAGGGGACTTGGCCTTCGGTGCAGCTTACCTCGGACCACGTTGCCTGGGTACAGGCAACGGGACTTCTGGCTCCAGTAGGCACAGACCCGTGTGCCTGGGGGGAGGAACCGGCTGGACTGTGGCCGGACATCGAGAACCTGTGGGGACAGTGAGCAGCAGCCTGTGAGCAGGCAGAGCCTGTGCCCTCCTTTGGCCTGGGACATACTGGCCGGGTGCCTCCCTAGGGCTGTGGACGGGTCTCTCACCGCCTCCTGCAGCAGCTGCTCCAGCGAGTAGATCCTCTGCCGGTTGCCTCTCTCGCCCTCGATGACGATGCTGTAGCTGGGGGCAGGGGGGCGGTGTGAGAGGGGCCTGCGGGCCAGGGAGCCCCCACGTCCCTCCCACCGTGCCCACGCCTGGGCCTCACATGTCAGGGGGCTGCAGGGTCCGGACGCTGCCCGCGTACAGCAGGCTGTCCTCCTTGGGAATGAGCACAGGCAGCCCGTCCTGCAGGTCCTCCCTGCGGATGGTGCAGGAGCGCGCTGTGGGCGAGGCGGCGTCAGCACTGGCCCGCCTGCTGTCCCTCCCCAGGCAGCCTGGCACCCCTGCGCCCGCTCACCCAGGGCAGCGCTCTGCTCCGCGCTCAGGGGGCCACTGGCCTCGTCCTCCTCGTCCTCCTCGTCTTCCGAGAAGCTGCTGTTGTCACCAAACTCGAAGTCGTCCTCCACCGTGAAGCTCTCCAGCAGCCGGCTCACTGCCCGGCCCTCGCCCTGGGGGGGCCAGAGGGGTCAGGCAGGGGTGGGGGGGTGGCCCGGCCACGCCCCCGGGGCTGGGGTGCTACCTGCTTGCCGACCGCCTTGCTCTTCACCTTGCCCAGCTTCCGGCTCTTCCCCAGGATGGCCTTGGCATTGCGGGCCGACAGGGCGATGGACAGGGCCCCGTTCTTCCGCTGCAGTGGGGTGGGGGACAAGGCACCGAGGTGGCGGTGGGAACAGCCTCCCTGCCCACAGCCAGATGGGGCTGTGACTCAGGCTGACCCCGGGCTTGGGGGCCAGTGAGCAGGGACGGAGAGTGGAGGCAACCCCGGAAGTCCTTCCCGACTGATGCCCATTCCCTCGGGGCCACTGACCCTGGAGACGTTGACCCTGGGGAGCCACTGACCCTGGAGACGCTGACCCTGGGGAGCCGCTGACCCTGGAGACGTTGACCCTGGGGAGCCACTGACCCTGGAGATGCTGACCCTGGGGAGCCACTGACCCTGGAGATGCTGACCTGGGGACCCCGCTGACCCTGCGGACCCTGCTGACACTGGAGCCTGCTGGCCTCACCCTCAGCACTGGCTGCAGCACGGTGCTCTTGCGTGTGGCTCTCTTGAGGCGCTCGCTGGCCAGCTTGCTGCCCTCCTCCCGGCAGGCAAAGGCCCGGGTGGGGCTGAAGAGGGTGTCCCTGCTGGGAGTGGCCCCTGGCTCTGCCCGCAGGCCACCTCTGGCCTTGCCCTTGGCTTTCTTCTTGCCTGGTGCACCTGGTGGCCTCCGCCCCGGGGCCAGCTCCAGCTTGGTGCCCACCTTGGCCTTCGCTGTCCGCCTCTTGATCTTGACCTCGCTCTCAGGGCTGGACAGGCGGCAGGCCCCTGTGGGAGGGAGAGGAGGCCGTCGTGGAGGTCGCGGCTGCCTGGGCCCCTGCTGGCCAGGCTGCCCGCGCCCTGCTTACCTAGCAGCCCCTGTCTCTCCTTCTTCTTCTTGGCCTTCTGGTTGGCTTCCATCTTGACCACAGAGGAGGGTGAAGGTCCCAGCACAGCCACGCCGGTCCCCGCGTGCAGCACCAGCCCTGGCTCCTTGGGAGGTGCTTCTGTCTCCAAAAGACCCCCACAGTCCTCGCTGTCATAGCCACTGCCTGGAACAGAGAAGCAGAGGGCGCAGATGACTCAGTGTTGCGCGGCACCCTCGCGGGTGGGGTCAGGGGGCTGTGAGTGGGTCCTGGCACCTCCACCCTCTGGGCTGCTCTGGGGACGGGAGCCGGGGGCCCTAGCCTCTGTGTGGAGGGCGTCTGGACAGGGACGTGGATGGGAGTTTTCTTTCTCACACCCTGGGCAATGGAGCACCCGCCTCGCTGGGCTGGAGCACCCCCGCCAGGGCAGCCCCTCCCTCGCTTTCTGTTGTCCTCTGGCTCAGATGGCTCGTTTCCTGTCCCCTCCCCAGCCTGAAGCAGCACATCCCTTTGTCCTTCTCAGGCGTCCAGACCTCTGGGGCAGGGGCTGGGCTGGGTGGGGGCGGGGAGGGGGAAGCGTCTGTTTTTCCAGGCTACTGTCCCTGGACACGTGTGCTTGCTGGGGGCTAGATAACCTCTGTGGGTCAGCCTGGCCGGCGCTGCAGGATGGAGGCTGGAGCAGGCGGGAGGGCTATTTTTAACTCGGTTTTCCGGGATGTGGGTGGGTGGGGGCTCTTTCCTCCCCCTCTGCCCCCAGCATGGGGGTGAGGTACGTGGAAAGTGGCTGAGTTCTGCCCTGGGGACGGGGCCTCCTTTGTCTGCCTGTCCCAGCAAGGTCTCCCTGAATCCATCACACACCATGAGCCCCGATCCAGCTCTGGTGGTGGCCTGTACCCGCCCTCCCTATCTCTTAGCCCCCGAGTGACTGTAGCGGGAGGCCCTGGCCATGGCCGGTCACACCAGCCACTTGCCTGCCTTGTGTGCCGCGGCCACCACCGGCCGGGCTGGGAACTTGGGCATCTCCCTGCCCCCGTGGCCATCAGGCGGTGGGTGCCGGGTTGCCCCAGACACCGTGGTGCTCTTGGCTCGGGACAGCTTCTTCCGGATGCGCCCGCTTGGGGCAGCCTCCTTCCGCTGGAAGGTGCTGAGGCCAGCAGGCAGCCCCTTGCTCTTGACCTTCGGCTTCAGCTGGGCCACCTTGTGGGCCCCTGAGGACACCAGCTCGGCCTGGCTGCGGCTCTTCTTGCATCGCACCTTCTGCAAATGGGGAGGTGGCAGCTGCACTCCCGAGGCCTTCGGGCTCCCCTCTGCCAAGGCTGGGCCCCAAAGTGGCACCTCCCGGGGCCCTGCCCTCAAATGGGGCCGAGAGGATGTCTGGCCTGGGGCCACGGGGCTGCCTGTTGGAGCCTCTGTGCCTGTCCCACCACTCCTCAGCCCCTCTTGACCGCCTGTCCTACTCAGGTGGGGATGGGGGGAGCCAAGGGCCAAGTGGCTGCCACTGTCGTGGGGACAGGTCACTTGTGTTTCTAAAGGGATAAAAGCGGAGTGTGCTGGGCAGAAGGAACAGCCTCCTGACTGGGGACAGGCCAGGTGATGACGTTCCTAATCCCACCTCTCACAGCCCCTCCCAGGGCCCTGCAGAAGGGGAGGGTGGCACCAACTGTGCCGAGAAGGGGTGCGGCTGCTGAGAGTGAGCCTGTGCGCCGTACCAGGTGTGCGCCCGGCGTGTGGACAGCATGCTCGGTCCTCTCCAGAAGGGCCAGGGGCCCTCACCCTGGAGAAGTCCTTCTGTGAGCAGAATGCCAGCCATGCGTTTTTTTCCTTCTGCTGGCACGAGCCACAGAGAGAGGACTCACAGAGCAGTGGCAGGCATGGCAACCCAGTCAGGCTGAGAAGGGAGATGCTACTTGCCCCTGCGGGCTCGGTGCCTGCGCCTGCTGCTGCGGAGGCGCTGGGATCTCACTCGGTTTGCAGACCTTAGCGATGGGAAGCCCTGCCGGACATTGGCGCGGGGCTGGGTGAGCGGCCCCGGGGTGAGGGCAGAGGGCCCTGGGACTCACCATGGCGGTCTGCAGGCCTGCGTAGACACTCTTTTCCAGTTTGCTCCGCTTCTTCGCAGGCTCCTGGCTGCCTCGCAGCTCCGCACACAGCAGACTCAGGCTGGTCCGCACTGCCCTGGGGGCACAGGGAAACGGTGGGCGCTGGGCGGACGCAGGCAGGGTGGCACTGCCTGGGTGCTCCAGCCTGGTCCCCCTCTGATGGTCTCTGTGATGGGTCTCATGCTGCAGCCCCTGTGCCTGGGAGAGCCCCCCATCGCCCCTTTGAGGGCACCTGCCTCCCAGTGAGCCCCGCTGCCTGCTGACCTCCAGCCCTCAGCAGTCCCGAGGTCCCCACGCCTGCCCCCATTCCCCGCTGTGCTGTGTGAAAGCGGGGGCATTTTTTTTTAGCTGTAACCCATCCCTCCACCCTGCAGGGAAGGAACAGCTTTGGGTTACTGGCCAGTCATAACTGTGGTGACCACAGGCCAGGCAGTGGGGGCTCGGGACCCTGGCTCCCTGAGCAGCAGCACAGAGGTCAGGAGCCAGGGCTCTGCAGCTACCTGGGCTCCGTGTGATGGGCCAGGCCTCAGCCTTCCTACCTGGAACATGGGACAGTGACATCTGTGTCTCTCTGTGAGAGGGGTAGGGATCATGCAGGTCTGGGCCTGGCCCTTGGCAAGAGGCCAAGGCCAGATGTGAACAGAGGGCATGGGGGGCGGTTCCCAAGAAGAGTCCACCCTGACACCTCTGCCGCTGCCAGGAAACGCATGGGTAAACCCAAGTCCCACAAGGGGCGGAGTGGGGACAGTGGCTGGAGAAAACCAGGCTCTCCTCCCAGCTCCCATCTCCCAGACGGGCCTGGCAAGCCCCTGAGGCTGAGACTCGGTTTTCCCAAGCTGCACAAGTGTGCCATCTCCTCCAGGCAGGCAGCTGGAGCAGGGGCAACCCTGACCACGCGGGCCCAGCAGCTGTTTCTAGACACCCCAAAAAGGATCCTGCCAGATCCCTCACATCCAGGCCTCCCTGCCTGATAGGGACACTCGACTCCCCATGCCATGCAGACAGACCCCCACTCCTCCCAGCACCCCATGTGCCAGGTGCAGAAATTAATTTCCCCTCCCACCCCATCTGCACTTCTCATGGGGACACTGAGGCTCGGGAGCTTGTCTGCCTGACTGTGGCCGCTCACCTGGTCCCCAACACCCTCGCTTTCAGCCCCCCTCCATGTGCTCGTGCGGGAGGGAGCCCTGGCCGCCTCAGCCTCACGTGGCCTCACGTCCCTTTTCACCGCCCAGCCCAGAGAGGTGGCCAGGCAGGAAGCCACGCTGGTCCTGGCCTTAGCCCTCCAGTTCCTGCAGCCCCTGGGCCCACCTGCGCTTGCCACCGCAGGTCCCCACGGCCTGGGCAGGGTGAGGGGAAGGAGCCCGGGGAGGGGAGGGTGAGAGGCAGGAGACCCAAGCCTTGGCAAGGGAAGGCCCTGGACCCGGTGTTCTTCCCCATCCTAAGGCTGCCGCCTTCCAGTCAAGGCCTGTCTTTTCGGGGCCAGGGGAGAAAGTGGCCAAAATGCAGTCACAAGGGTGGGGCTTCCAGGCTGGCGGTTTGGTGCCAGGTGGGCTTGATCGCAGCCTGGAGCAGCATAGCCAGGGCCTGGCAGGGAGAGAGGCTGCGGGGCCCATGCTGCCTCCTGGGCTGGGTGTCCCAACAAGGCCCTGGCCAGACCCTGGCCTCAGGTGGCTTTGTCTTGCCCAGCAGCACCCCCACGGTGGTGGCTTGTTCTCAAAGGGAACCCCCTGGAGCCCCCACCAGTGACACCTGAGAGAGGTGGAGGGGCAGGTCAGGGAGCCCCCCAGCCATATGGTGGATTCCCGGTGCCGCCCACCGCCCACGCAAACCCCCTCCCGGTAACCTTCTCTGCGTTTGTTAATGTTTTGTGACATAAGCCCTGAGATTAATTTTTTGCCTCTGTCTTAATTGAAGGAACCATTTAGTGCCGATTTAACTATTATTACCAAATCATCAGGATTGATGCCGTGCACACATGCGCGCGCCAATCGCGTTTGGAGGAGCTCGGAGGATTTATGCAAATGGGCCTGCCGGGAGAGGCAATTTGTAGCCGAGAAGGACAATTACACCAGGCCCGGGAGTGCGCCAACGACCGCGCCGGGCGCCAACGGGCAATAACACCGTGCGCAGCCCTGCGCGGTGCTGCAGCGTGACCGAGGGCTTCACGGAGCGTGGAGAGAGGGGCTGGCATGCGCCGCTGCCCCGGCCTCCGCTGCGCCGGGTGTGTGGAGCTGGCCTGGCCAGGATCTGGGGTTGTGGCCTCTGAGAGGAAAGGAGCCCGGGGTAGGGCCAAGGTCTGAGGCCGGGCACAGCAAGCAGGACACTTGGGAGGGTCTGGGAGGGGACGTGCTGGGCCCTCAGAGAAGGCGTGAAGGGGGCATCAGCAGCCCAGGGAGCCAGAGAAGAGGGACTCACTTCACTTTCTTGCTGTCGCTCCTGGCGAGCTGGCCCCCGGGGCGCAGGGTGGGCAGCGAGCCAGAGTGTTTGCGCTTCCTCGGCCGGCCAGGCCCCCGCCGAGCAGGGCTCCGTGAGCTCTCGTCTCTCCTGGGGGTCGCAGCAGGGGTGGTCATAGGCTTATGTCCACCCTGGCTCCCAGACAGGGGTCCAGCAGAGGACACTGCCCTTAGTGGGGCTGCCAGGTGGGGGACAGGTACTCCCAAGACTTGGCCTGGGGCACCTGGCCCTGCAGGAGGGCAACTAGGTCAGGATTCCCACTGCCCCCACCTCTCTGAAGCTCTGCCAGCCTGGAGTCCTGCCCCTCCATGCCCCCAGCTCCAACCATCATGCACACATGGGTCAGGGAAGCTGCTGCTATCCCTGTGGCAACTGTGGGGGCTCCTCTGCCCCATAGAAGGCCCCAACTCCTTCGTTGGCTTCCCACCCTTCCCAGCCCCACTTGTGACACTGTGCCCCTCACCCCGCCACACTGTGGACTGGACTCTCTCCCTGCATCAGCCTCTGCCAGGTGGCCCTTCCACCAGGCCTGCCCTCCCCCCAGTTACTCTGTGTGTTGAACGTCCCACCCTTCAGGTCTCGTCAAGTACTGCTGCCTCCGGGGAGCCTCCCAGACCCCAGCTTCCCGCCACCCTGGCTGTACCCGGCCCTGCCCAGCCCCTGCCCCACCCGAGCCGTACTCGTGGTCGCGCCTGCGCTGCAGGCGGGCCAGCTCCCGCTGCTTCTCCTTGTAGCGCCGCTGCAGCTCCGCCAGCTGCACGCGCATCTCCACCTCCTGCGTGTCCAGCCGGTCGATGGCGGCCTTCAGCGGGCACACCTGGGGGGCAGGGCCACAGGGGCCCGTGAGCCAGGCCAGGGCCCAGGACAGGGCTGGTGGGTGGGCGGCCTGGGCCCTCGGGGGTCCCCCGTCTGTCCTGGCACTAGGCAACAGGACCCCACTCACAGGCTTGGTCTTGGGGGTCCAGGAGTCCTTGCGCTGCAGGATCTGCATGCGGGCAGTGAGCCTGGGGCCGCGGCAGGTGTCAGCAGCAGAGGTCTGGGCTGAGGCGGCTGAGCTGTCCAGGCCTGCGGCCTCCACCAGGGACCAGGCTGTGGCCAGCGTGGCCAGATGCTGCAGGTTGAAGGCCAGCACGTCCTCCTCCTCTGCTGGGGGGACAGGAGGGTCAGCGCAGGCGAGGATGAGGGTGGGGGGCGCACTGGCTCTCAGAGGCTCCTGACATCAGCCCCATTCCCAGCACAGCCCTGGCCCGCGGGGCCCAGAGCCCCAGGCCCTGAGGACCAAGGACGAGCAGAGCATGGTGTCCACTCAGGGAGGAGGCTTGGAATGCAGACCCAGCCCCAGCAGGGGAGCCGGCCACAGGGAGGGGCGGCCGCAGAGATGCGCGACTGGACACAGGGCTGAACCTGCAGGGACACTCATGAAGGGTCACGGGGGCCGGGCACCTGCCTGTCAGGGGGGAGTTACAGCCAGTAACATGTGCGAGACAGGAGGACCCGTCCTCTGAGAGTGCCCGGGAAGAGCGACCCTGACACCCCAGTCTTGGCTTCTAAACACCGTTCTCCACGGGAAGGGCTTGGGAGAAACGGCTGCTGCAGCCTGGGCAGAGGGAGTGCAGAGTGCGGTGGTGGCGTTCTGTCACTCCAGAAAAGACAGGGACATGTCAAAAGCACGTGGGAGTGGCTGAAGGGCTCCCACAGGCGCCATCTGGTACCATTGGTCATCAGACTCAAGAGCGATAAACAGCAGGAATGCCTGAGTGGCCCTGACACAACTGAAAGGAGAAAGTGGACGTCTGAGGACGAGCGGCCTCGTCACAAAACACCCTGCACCACACAGGGGACAGCGGGGAAGCTCGGCCCGCAGCAGCCCATCAGAGCCAACGTTCAAGATTGCTGCACGGGAGACCAGGCTGCCGGGAGGACCTGTCCTGGGAGGCTCCTGCCGAGGAAGCGCACCTGAGCCTCAGCAGCGGGAGGACCCAGCAGGGAGCACGCTACAGCACGACTGGCGGGCACTCTTCTCACGTGGGGGGGGGGACGCCCAGTGCAGGGCAGGAGGCAGACGGCCCAGAAGTCCAAGGGCTCATCTACCCCCAAGTCACTATGGTGGTGCCAGGAGGCACCGGAGGGGAAGACGCTGGATGCTCTAACCTCTGGACACAAGTTCTGGGCCAAGACCACAGACCTCCAACCCAGAAACCCACAACCCCAGAGACAGGTCCCCGGGGAACGGGAGGGCTGAAGGGGGCTTTCTCCGCAGAGAGAGGACCTGCTGCTCCGCCCACTGCCAGGGAGGCCCAAGTGCAAGACCGTTTCAGCTAAAAGCCCCAGGCCTCCCGTCTCTTGGTGTCCCTAAGATCTGTCAGAAGCCTTTCTGTTCCTCCTGCCCAAGCTCCACATGTCCTTGAGGCCACAGGTGTGTGGCTCCCACATGGCCTTGCACAGACAGCCAGGCCTAGAGGGTGGGCCTGGGCCACGCAGCGGTCCCCTCTGGAATCCCTGCCCTGCCCGGCCCCTGATCCTCAGGATTTTCTTCTCCCACTGTCCCCCTCTATGAATCCTGCTGTTTGGCACAGAACGAAGCTGGCCTCCTAATTGATTTCAGCCAAAGCCGTCACTGCGCTCGTTGGGAACAATTCCGATCCAAGCAGCTGCTGATGACTTGCCAATTAACTGGGACAGGGGAGGGTGGGGGCTGGGTGCTCCAGGAAGGGAGGGTGGGCTGAATGCTGGTTGTGCCCCCAGCCTGGTGGCTACGGCACCACACCAGGTTACACAACATGACCCCCACCAGGACACGCAGTCCATCAAGAGTATTTCTTCAGTGAATGGGCTGCAGTCCAGCGAGTGGTTCACACGCACACAGATGGCAGCCCTGGCTGCACACACAGTGCCTGGCACCCACACAACAACCCCTCACGCTGCCATGGGAGGGCCACGAGGAGCCTCAGTGGTGTCCCTAGCAGGTCGGGCCCTGCTCTGGGCACCCCCATCTCACCCTACCCCCCGTTCCTACACACAGGGCCTGGAGACCCAAGTGAGCCCCCCGCCCCAAGGTCCAGACACATCCTGAGCACATGCAGCGCCCAGCAGCTCCTGCGGCCCAGGTACCACTGCAGCCCCTAGCAGAGGAGGGACAGAGAGGCCTTGGGGAGACTAACTTTACAAGAACATCCACTTTATCTCAGCAGCATAAAGACCTCACTGGAAGCTGGCAGAGGCCAAGCCCTGAGGACTTTGCTGCTTTCTTTCTGTAAATATCCAGCAACACACGCCTGGCTAGGGTGTCCCCCCAGGAGAGGCTTCCTCTGGGGTCCAATGGGAGGATGGGGCAGGAAGAAGGGGCTCCGAGTGGAGCAGCTGGGGCAGCTGGGGGCTGTGTGGAGGGCTGCACAGATGCAGCAGAGACCCGGCTCTCGGGCGTCCTGTCTGAGGCGCTCTGGCCCCAGGTGGGCAAAGGAGCCAAACCCCATCTGGTTCTGCTGCAACGGTCCTGCCCGGCACCTCGGGGCTCTGGGGAGGGTGGGAGCCCAGGTGTTCTTCATCCCACTCACCAGCCTTGGAGCAGGAACTCCTGCTGTCCCAGTCCCAGCCCCAGCCCCAGTGGGCCCTGCGTCCTCCACCATGGGGGCCCATCTGATCCCATCACAGCCTCCTGCCATCTTCCCTGAGCAGGAGCCATGGCACCCGGGGTACCCTGATATCCTTGCATGACAGCCACTGAGCCTCCCTTATTCCCCGCAACAGGGCCCTCCCCCTGAGACTACCACTGAGGTGCGGTCCCAGTCCCGAGGGCCGTACCCATGACTCCTCGGCTGGGCCAGGGCTGGGGGTGGATTTGGTGTTGGCACACCCACCTCTGGTTTCCACGGATGAGGGTGGCCGGGTGGAGGGGGGCATTCTCCCCAGGGCCTGCCACACTGTGGGGACAACTCAGCCGGGCTGAAGGACCCCCCCCCACTCACCCCAAGCCGGGGGCGTACCTTGCAGGGCCTGCTCGCTCCTCTGCCGCTGGATCTCCAAGTCAGCCAGCTCACTGAGCAGTGCGATCCCATGAATCCCTGAGCTATGGGGCAGGGGGGCTGTGCTGGGGGGCTCAGAGGCCACCGGGGGCTGAGAGTCCAGTGGGCTGATGCTGGGCAGGTCCCCTAGATCAATGGTGGCAGCCACCAAGGCGTCCAGGCCTGGCAGTGCCCTGGGTGCAGGGCTGTTGCCAGGAGCCACCCCCAAGTCCTCTTCCTCGTCCTCGAGACTTTCCTCCTGACGCTCGTCCTCCTCAAATGTGGTCGCATTGTCCTCCAGCCCCGCCGCCTCCGGGGTCTGCCTCTCGCCCTCATCCTCCTTGTCCAGGGCACCCAGGCTCCCTGCCCGCTGCTCCAGGGCTGGCAGGGGGGCCTCTGATGAGGGTGCCCGCTCTCCCTCCTCCCGCCCCTCCCCTGTGGTCCTCTCCTCTTGTGCCCCTCCCTGAGTAGAATCAGCCTGGTCAGTGGCCTCGGGGTCCACTCCCTCAAGGATGGCCCCGCATTGCAGTTCTTGTAGCCCCTCAAATGGACTAGGGTCTGCTGCCTTCCCTGGGGGTCCCCGCTCGGCGGGGTGGGGGGTGGCGGCGAGGTCCTGGGTGGCCTCCCTGGCTCTTGAGAGCAGCCCGGGCTCCTCCAGGCCCCCAGGGCTGCAGGGCGGTGGCTCCCTGGGCAGGAACGTCCTCATCGGCTCGGGCTGGGCCCCCGGGGCAGCGGTTTGCATAGTTTCGGGGTCTGTGAGGTCAGACGAGGGCAGGTCAGAGGGCAGAGAGGAGAAGCCCAGGCCGGCCGGGGGGCGCACACATCCGGAAGGCAGGTCTGGGAAAGAGAAGACGGGTGAGGAAGGCAAGGGTGGGCGAGTGCGGCCTGTTACAAGATGGGGAAGGGTGGCCTTGAACCCCAGACCCACACCTGGGAGGGAGGGTGCTGGCCAGCCCTGGAGGCCTGCGGGACACTCAAGAGGCCAGAACAGAGGACATGTCACGTTACAGGGGCAGCGGGAGGCCAGGCCCCTGTCCGGCCAGGGCAGCCTCAAGGCCCCCGTTCCTGGCTCCTGGCGCAGCCTCAGGGGTCCTCGGGGGCGGTCTGTGGCATGGTGTGGTGTGGCTAACCAGAAAAGGGGGATTTTTAAAACATGATGCTTGAATCAGTGTTTTCCCTGAACCAGAACGAGCCAGCAGCGTGTCAGAGGCATTACGCCCCATTAACTGCAATAAAAAAAAAAAAGAAAAGAAAAACTAAGGGGAAAAAAAACTGAGGGAAAAAAAACCCAAAAAACCCCCTCTGCTGGCTCATTCTCCTTATTGTGGAACTGGGACGGGTTTTATGCTCACCACATGGGTTTCCAGTGTAAATTCTCAGCCTAACTCAGAGACAACCAAGCAGGCTGTCGAGGAGCCGGCAGGCGGCGGGCAGGCGGGCTGCAGGGGCTGAGGCTGGCGAGGGAAGGCAGGCCCAAGACCCCTGCCACAGGCCCAAGCAGGTGGCATCCTGCGATCCCATAGCCCTGCCACTGTCACGGCAGGCCAGGCGCCTCATTGCTCTCAGGACCCCAATGCTGGCCAGCCAGGCCTGGCTTTCCTCCTGCCCTGCCTGCCGAGGGCTGGGAAGGGGCAGCTGTGCTGCTGCGTGCCCCCCTGGGTCACCCGCAAGGACAGTGAAGAGGGTGGGCGAGGAAGGGAAAAGCCACGCTGTGCTGGACCCTGACAGGGACCTGGCAAGGGGAGGGTACCTTCTGCAGGTGCCAAGCCAGGCAGCCCCTGCTGACAGCTCTGCCTCCCCAGGAGGGGGCGGAGGGCCTCAGAGCGGCACGGGCACACCAGGCCAGCCTGGAGCTGCCCACTCTCACCTGACTCCAGTGTGGAGAGGTCGGCTCTGGGCCGCCGGCCCGTCCCGCTCTTGTCCTCGGTACTGGGCACACTGGAGCCAGGCCCGGGGCTGCCAGCAGGGCACACGGATAAAGTGCAGGGGGCGCTGGAACGTGGTGGTGATGCAGGGCAGCTGGTGGGGGGCTTCAGGGCGGGCGAATGGCAGCAGGGTGACAGCTTGACGGGGCCTGCAGTGGCAGGTGAGGGGGCGCCCTTGGCCATGGGGGTTAAGGCAACTGGCTTGTGAGTGGACTTCAGGGCCTTCTCCTGGGTGGGCTCCTCCAGCTCCAGGTGGTGGTCCTCAGGTTTCCGCTGTTGGGGTGAGGGGAGAGGCTCACCTGGGCCCAGCCCCCTCAGTCCCTGTACACCCCACTGTGTGAGGTCATCGAGTGGGAGGCACGCAGGGGCTTCTGGGGACAAGCCAGGGTGAAGCGGGAGCGTGAGAACTGTCGTGGGTGCTGGGCGAGCGTGGCCGGGGGGGTGGGTACCTGGAACTGGGCTGCCCGCTGCAGCTCTAGGGCCTGGGCGCTGCGATGCTTCTGCTGCTGCTGCTGCTGTTGCTGCAGGGCGTAGAGCTCCTGCTGCCGCAGGAGCTGGGAGCGTGGGTACACGGGGAGCTGACCGGGGTGCTGCATGTGGGAGGCGGGGCCCCGGGCCCCATACATGGGGGGCCACAGCGAGGCCTGGTCCATGACATCAGCTGTGGACAGGGGCAGAGGAGCCGTGAGCCCCAGCCAGCCAGCCCCACTCAGGACCCCTCCCCAGCTCCCCGACCTCACAGCTGCCTCCTGGGCACCTGCCGCACCCTGCCCTCTCCTTGCAGGTGCCACTCCCCCCAGACCCACATGCTAACAACCTGGCCGGGGGCCTCACCGAGTGCTTGGGGGGCGGTGTGGGGTGCAGGCTCCGAGGGCAGGATGACGAGCTGTGCAGGGGCGTCCTGGGGGAGGGGGAAGACGGAGGGCATGGAGCTGGGCACCGAGGTGGGAAAGCCGGGGGGCAGGTTCTGGTGCAGGGCGGGGTGCCCCAGGCCTAGGGGGAGAGGACACAGCAGTCAGGCCGGCTGGGGCCCACGCCACTCAGCCTCCCGCTCCCGGGGCCTGGCCGGGAGAGGATCACCGTCAGCCCCAGGCCAGCCCCCCACAGTGACTGCCCTTGGAGCACTAACCATAGGAATGTCCCCCCATCCACAAGGAGGGGCTGCGGGTGCGGGGCAGCCAGGGTGGGTGCGCGGGGTGGGGGTGGGTGGCCGGGTCCCCGCCCAGCTGGCTGCTCTGCACCATGAGGTGGGGGGCCAGGTCTCCGGGGCAGCTGCTGGACAAATTCTGGATCCGGGCAAATTCCACGAGGTCTTTGTTGTCCCTGTAAGATCACAGGGCTCAGCCCTGTCACTGAGCCCTGCCTCCAGCTCCCCACCTCACCCCATGGCCAAAGCCTGGGAGGGAAAATGGGACTTGGGGGCTCACAGGAGATCCCAGGCTCTGTGCCTCAGCGTTAGAGGTCCAGGCAGGGGCCCTGCTGGCAGAGGGGGAGTGAGCAGAGCCCTCCAACATGGGGTGGAGACCCCAGAAAGGCTCCCGGGTGGGTGTGTATATTGACACGACAGGCCACAGAGCCTGTCATCCCTCTGTAAGGACATCTCACTTTCTCCCACATAGCTCTAAGCAGGCGAGCCAGCGGCCCCCACCCCAAGCCCACACCCTGTCCTTACTGCAGCAGCAGCTCGCGGCCGGCCAGCCCCAGGCGATCTTCACACAGCCGTGCCCGCTCCTCCTCGGCCTCCAGGTCCAGTGTGTGCACGGAGCGGGACCCGCTGCCAGCTGCACAGGGTCGAGATGGCAGGAGGGACGAGGGTTGGGGTGGCCAGGTGCCACCGGCTAAAGCAAGCAGTGACCCCACTTCAAACCTGTGGGCCCTACAGGGTCTGCTGGGGCAGGGCGGGGCCGGCTGGCCCTAGGCACCCCAGGCCCCACCCGGCCGGCCCCCCTCCCGTGGAGAGCTGTACCTTTGAAGGCAGGGGCGGCCCGGCCCTGCCGCCCAGCGTTGGTGCTGTAGGATGTCTCAGACCGACTCACAGTGTCCTTCTGCCTGGCCAAGGCCACTGCGATGCCCACAGGTGGCTGCCGCACCTCCCCGTCGCCATGTGGGGCCTCGTGCTCCCGGCTGCGGGCGCAGTCCGGCCTTTCCACATGGCCTGGGCCCTTGGAGGCCGGGAACTTTGCCTCCTGTTGGACGCAGCTGGCTTTGAGGCTGCCCAGGCCCACGAAGGGCGCCTTCTGGCCCACGACCAGAGCTTGGTTGCTGTACTTCAGCAGGTTCTTCATGGCCGAGACCTCGTCTGGCGGGGTGGGCAACTCCTGGGACAGGAGGGCCGCCTGCTGAAGGCCGCTGCCAAAGGGGTCCAGGTAGGGGCCGCCCTTGCGCTCCTCACTGATGGCCATGGAGGTGCCCTGGCCTGCCTGGACGCTCCATGGGGGCAGGTGGGGCCCGCCGTAGCCCAGGGAAGCCAGCTCTAGGGGCTTGCGTGTGGCCTCGGCCCCACTACCCCCTGGCTCCACCTCGGGGGCCACCAAGTGCTGCTGGTGCCGAATCCTGGCCACCTTCTGGGCCCCGGGGAGGCTGGCAGGGGCCTCCTTGCTGGCCGTCTTGTCTAAAGTGCAACAGGCCTGGGGGGCCTTCCCACCCAGAGGGTCTTGGTGACTGGGCCGGGCACAGTCCTGTGAAGGGACGGGCAACTCAAAGTAGCTGCTTTTGTCCAGACCGCCCTTGGGGAGTCCGGAGAAGGAGGCCTCAGGGCCTGCACTATTGAGATACTCCAGGCCCTTTAGCCGGGGGTTAAGGGCTGCCTCGAAGCCCCCAGGCCTCCACTCGCCCCTGCCCTCGGCCTTCAGGTGGGCATAGGAGACTCCGTAGGGCGTGGCATGGTCGGGAGCCATGGCCCCATCCAGGTGCTGGTCCTTGCCCTCTCCCACCACAGCACAGGCCTCGGCCGCCTGGAAGGGGCGGCTCTTGTCCGCCAAGTGTCCCACGGAAGGCACAAAGGTGGGCCCGCTGGCCTTTAGGTCCCGGGAGACTTTGTCCTGCAGCGGGCAGAGCCCGTCCGGGCCGGCATGCAACTGCAGGCAGGGGAAGGAGCCGGCAGCTGTGCTAAGTGGCGGGGGTGGCCCAGCGGTCAGGCCAGATGGCACCGTGTAGGGCACTGCATGGGACACTGCATGGTGCAGCATCTGCCTCCGCTCCAGGCACTCGCTGAAGGCTGGCCCAGGCTCCGCGGGGCCCGCCGCCTCCTTTGTGCAGCGCCCAGCGGCCGCCATCCCCATGCCTGGCCGCCCCAGCATGCCCCCCGCACAGCTGGCCGGCGTGGCCTTGCCCATCTCGCCGTTGAGCACCTTGGCATTGAGCAGGCAGGAGGTGAGGTGCTTGGGGCGGGCCTCGCAAGCGCTGCGGGGCACTGGGCCACCCTCTTTGCAGTGCCCGTCGGCTGGCACGGGCAGCACCAGCTTGTGCCGCTCCTTGCCACCGTCCTCTGCTGCCGCAGGCCGCTCCTTGCCCTCTGCTGCCCTGCCGGCCTTCTCTCTGCCCAGGAGGAAGCGGTCAAACTCCTTGGGACCCTTCTGCAGAGGGCTGGCCTCGCCCCGGTCACGGCTACAGGAGCCGATGGGGTGGGCAGGGGCGGCCCGGGCCACGGCAGGGAAGTTGTGGTTGGCAGGCAGGAGGGTGGGCTGCGGGGGCAGGTTTCGCAGGTAGAAGTTATCTGCAGGCCGAGAGAGCCAAGGTCAGTCGGGGCAGGGAGAGCTCAGGCGCCTCCCCCAACCCCAGCTGGCACCGACCTGAGGCCAGGGAAGGTTTTTGTTTTCATTTTTTAAAAAGTTGTGGTAAAACACACATAACATAAAACTTTAACTTTTTTTTTTGTCCTTTTTGAGACCGGCCGCACCGTGCTCAGCCAGTGAGCGCTGTGAGCGCACCGGTCATCCCTATATAGGATCCGAACCCGCAGCGGGAGCGCTGCTGCACTCCCAGCGCCGCACTCGCCCGAGTGCGCCACGGGCTCGGCCCAAAACTTTAACATTTTAAGTGCACAGTTCTGTGGCATTGACTACACTCACACTGCTGTGCAGCCACCACCCCATCTCCCCGACTCTTCCCTCTCCCCAAACTGAGACTCTGCACCCATGAAACACTAACTACCCCCACCCCGCTGAGGTTATGACTATGTCACCCCCAGGAGCTGAGAGCTCCAAGCAGAGCATTCACAGGAGCATGAGCCGGTCGGGTCTGCAGACCTTAGAGACACGGATGCTGCTGGCTTACAGTGAGGGGCAGCTCGGTGGACCTGTGTGATGTGGCCACTACAAGCCTGCTGTGCCAGGTGCCCGGTGACATGGCTAGAGAGCCCACCGAGACCCACATCACCCGCATAAGTCATCCCCAGAGAAGGAAGTGAGGCTCAGGGTGTCTGAGTGGGCTAGGTGTAGAGGACCCCACTCACCTACATCCTGGACACCCTGGGGAGCCCCCCAGTGCCCCCAGCCCCTGGGCATCTGAACTGTGGACCTCTCAGGCTGGTGGGACTGGGTGATGGGTTAAAACAGGGAGAAAGGAAGGTCCTGGGGTGGAGAGTAGCAGCTGTGCCCACACCCACCCGGCAGCTCCCTGCCCACCCCGCCTGGAGCAGGGAGGTGTCCTGGGCTCCCTCTGCTGGTGTCTGGACTGGCTGCCCAGACTGGGCCCTCGGCCTGGGACAAACCCTTCCTGTCCAGGCAGGGGCTGCTCCATGCTCTCTACATGGGTCCCCAGCTGCCCTGGGGACACCCACCACCCCAACCTGGGGGTAGGTCACCACCTCTGGGGGACCCTGGGTGGGTGAGCAGCAGAGTAGACGGCCAAGAGCTGAGGCAGCGGACCAGTGGGGGAACAAAAGAAACATTTGGAACTTGTAAAACCGTCCTCAGTCATGTAAATTCCTTGTCAATTTCCTGCTAATTAGAAACAAGGGGAAGGGGGCAGCCCTGGCAAAACCTAATTAGCTCAATTTCCAAAACCAAATAATGTTCTTGGATGAGGCTCCACCACAATATTGTGAAAGCCAGAGGCCCCGCCAGCGCTCCTGCGACACCAGCCGGCCCACTGCCCAGAGGGAGTCCCTGGGCTCTGGTTCAGGGGGTTAGGTTTCTGGGGCTGGACTAGCCACCTGCCTACCCCTGCTAACGCTGTCAAAATACTGCAGGTGCTGCAGCTGATATTGGGGGACCCAGTCCCTGGTGGTATGGGGCTGTCCCCTGGGCAGCAGAGCCCTTGGCCACCAGCTCCAAGAGCCGGGTGAGGAGACTTGGTTTTCCTGGAAGTGTCCAGGGTGTAAGTTATGGTCAGAGCCAAGTCCCCTGGGTGGGGCTGGGGAACAGTCCTGGCCCCACCGGAAGCAGGGCCTTTCCTGCACCAATCACGGCTGGCCAGTCCAGGCAAGACCGAGGCCATCCTGAGCCTCCGCAGCTCTCCCAGGTACAGGATGGCCCAAGGACACAGACACGCTGGACACGCCGAGGCCCTGGAGTCTGAGGCCAGAGGAGAGAAGGGGCTGTGGGCTGGCAGGAGGTGAGGGCAGGGCGGTGGGCCGCAGGCTCTCTCTGCCCCTTCTCCCTCCCCCCACACCTAAAACTGCTCTCCCTGGGGCACCATGGCCACCTCAATGGCACTAGCTCAATGCGGTCCCTTTCCTTCCCCAGGACCCCTGCTGGATGCTCTGTGGACTCCTCTGGCTCCTCTGAGCTCCAGCCTTCAATGCTAAGGCTTCCAGGGCTGAGCCCATCTTCGCCGGCCACATACCCAGGTGACACCTCTCCACAGGTGAATCTACCTTTCCAACCCACCCGTCCAGCACTGCCCCCCCATATATGTCCAGTGTCCAGCTCCCACCTGGATCCCTGGGGAGGCCCCCAGTCCCTCTGCACCGGAGCTGGGCTCCCCTCTGAACTGCTGGTGGGTCCCTTCCAGTTGGCCAAGAACTGGGGGTCATGTGGGACCCTCTGCCTCTCCCTGTCCCCAATCTGCATTCCTTGACAGCACTGATTCCAGCCCCAAGGGACCCCACATGTGGGTTCCTGTCTTTATCACTTGTCTCTGAAACTAACCCAGAGGTCTCCCCGCACCACCCCAGGGAGAGCTTTCTAAAAGGCAAACAAGACGTCACCCCAGCCAGGAAAAACTCTACCTGGAGACAGCTCCGGCTCCCATACCTGTCCCACCTCCAGCCAGGAGGTGCCTGCCTGACCTTCTGGCAGGTTGCCTGCTGGGAGCTGCTCGTGGAGGCCAGGCCTCTGCTGTGCAGCACCCCAGTAGGAGTCCCCTCCTCCAACGGGTTCTGTGTTCTCGCCAGCGCAGGCCACACTCAGCGTGCCTCCTCTGGGGACACCTGCTGCCAACGGGGGGGCAGCCCCTCCTCTGTCCACGGGACACAGCTCTTGCTCCCGCCCTCCTCCCGCGGCCTCTGTCAGCACTGGCACAGCCGAGGTCTAGCCCAGGCCCAGCGAACTGAGTCAGGAGATGCATGCTTCTGTGGGCCTCGCCTCCCTTTACTGATGGGATCCTCCTCGCCAAGCCCCCCTGGGACCCCTGAACACTCTGTGGCTTCTGCCTGACCGCCAAGAGCTCAGGAGACAGCCTGGCTATGCTTTCCGAGTGCTACCTAATGTGGGTACTTAACTGGTCGCTGGGCGGTGGTCCTGGGACCCAGTGTTTAAATCATCCAGGTACCTGTGGGGCAGGCCCGCCCTCTCCTCCAGCCCCCACCCCTGCCTGGCCAACAACTTGTCAGGGGCCCTCCCAGACCGGCCGCTCTACCTTGTGCCCCAGAAGCTTCCCAGCCCCCACGACGCCTGCACCTCATGCCGGGCCACGCTGGGCCCACCGCACTTGCCTTTTTGGGTTCCATAGAAACGATGCTGCCCGTAGAGAACGTTGCTGTTTCCATGGTGATCCAAGTGGCTCACGGGTAGGAAGGTGGATGCCAGACTCCCCGAAAACCTGGGGTACCCTGGAGCTAGAGAAGCAAAGAGACTGCTGTAGAGGCAACCCCCAGCCCCCCGCCTGCACCCGCGCGGACCCCAGGGAGGGGAGAAGCCAGCAGGCAGCCCCAGAGCAACGCCCTGCGGAGCCGGCGTGCAGCCCGCGGTGGGAAATCAGCCCATCAATACATCACATTAGCTCTGACTCGACTAATGCCATCCCTCCAGTGCGGTGCGGCACAAATTGAATTGCTGATGGGCTGGGGAGAGGGGTGGGTGGAGGAGGGGCTTTGACTCTCTCCCAGCAGCACTCAGTATTTGGGAGCTTCCGGGCAGGGCAGCAAAAGGCGATCTGGAGAGGCATCTTGGGAGAAGGGGGCACAGCGGACCAGCGCCCCACAGAGCGACCAGCAGAGGAGAGCCAGGCCGGACATGGCCTCCTGCCAGCACCTTCAGCAGGCCCTGCCCAGCTGTGCTGTGCTGGTCTCGAAGGCCCATGCCCTGGGCCCGTGCAGGTGGGGTGTGGCAGGTTTCCACCCTGCTGGAGGCCACAGGCTCCAGCCAACTCAGCTCTCTACTGCTCCACTGGGCATGGCCTCTGGTGCTCTGAGAACCCCCTGCGCTGTCCCCAGAGACTCCAAGTCATGTCTGCAGGCCCCTCTCTGGCCCGAGGGGTCCATCCCTCGTGGCAGCCAGAGTTCTGAGGGGCTCCCCCTGTCCAGGACAGGAACATCAGCCACCCCCTGGGAAAGCTCTGGCCACCTGGCCACCCAAAGGATGAGGGCCCAGCCCGCAGGACAGACAGGACTGAGCACTGGCCTGGGAGGCTCGCCCAGGCACCGGCACCCTGGCCTAGGCACTGCAGGGTGGGATGTCTGGTGGCTTCTCATGGCTGGTCCTTCCCCACCAGGCCCACAGGGGACAGAAGGACCCGGGCCCCCAGCCCTGCCTGCCAGCCGCCAGCCAGCTTACCCTGCCTGCTGCTACTACCAGGGCAGGCCCTGGGATGTGGGGGCCCAAGTCTCCTTCCCAGCCTGGCTCACACCCCATAGCCCGCTGTCTAGTTGTCCCTAGCTGGGCTCTGAAGTTGCTGGTTGTTAAGTGGAGGGTGCGGTGAAGTGGGGCTGGATGTCTTCACAGCCTGGGGCTGCTCCTGGCTTTGTCAGGGTGGGGGGAGGAGGGCGGTAGGGCCTGGATGTGGGCCACAGGCTGGCTGGGGAGTCAGGGGGCAGGGCAGCCTGGAGACCACTTTAGCACCAGGGGCCCAGAGGTGGCTCTCTGCAGGCGGAGGCTGAGGGACAGCTATGTGAAGCAGGACCCTTGAAGCATCAGCTGGTGACAACTGGCCAGGCTGTCCCTCCCCCTCCCATTTACAGAGCCACGCAGCTGGGTTGGGCAGGGCAGGACTCTCCAATTCACTCCAAAGTGCCGGCTTCGGCTTCGAGCTGCTGCTCTGAACATTCTCCTGCAAGGAAAGCAGGCCCAGAGGAGTTTCTCTAGGGGACCTCACGATCGTACCAAGAGCTTCTCGATGCTGTCTGACTTCTCAGGCCACCCTGGGCAGTGACAAGGGAGCAGGAATCCCCGGGGTTTCTCCGAGGAGCAAAACAGCCACAGGGACAGGGAGGGGGGAGCCCAGGAGGGAAAGAAGGGGAGGTGGGTTCCAGGCGTGTGCTGAGAGGGCGCTGTGAGCCACGTGCCAGGGAGCCAGGCGCCGCGACCCTTTTAAGCATCGCAAGGAAGCAACTGACAAGTCCCACAACAGACAGCGTTGCTGGACCTCTTCACTGTTTCCCAAACTCCTTTTACTGCGGAACCCGGGTCGTTTCAGCGAGAGCCCTTTCAACAACGTGTGGGCCACGCGTTCCACAGAACGCACTCTGAGCGACACCCTTTCAGAAGTCCAGCACTGCAGGGGCAGGTCCAGAACTACAGAACACATTTCCAGGCCCGTGTCCGTCCCCACAGTGCTCAAAGAGGGCCAGGGCTACTCGCCATGACCTGAGGCCGACCTGCCTGGAGACTGAAGTTGAGATGGAGGTGGGAGGCCAGTGTGGCCTCGGCCCTCCATCTCAGTGCCAAGGGACCTCTGTGGGTGTGTGGGGGGCAGGGCCAGGAGGTGGCACTCTGCAGGCCTGAGGCCGGGTGGGTCAGGCTGTGGATAGTCCTCAGAACCCAGCTCGGAGGTGAGGATGGATGAGGAATCTCAGGGGCATGGCTCACAGAAGGGGTCGGAGATCAGATGGGGACACTCTGGGGTCCCTCGGGAACAAGGCCCCGACATCCATGGTGCCTCCCAGTCCAAATGGGCAGCCCACACCCAGATCCCAGCGGGCCCCTCAGCAGTGGCAGGCTGCCACTCAGCCCCTGATGGTGCTCTCTGATGTTCTCTGGCTCAGTCAGTCCTGGGTGAGTCTGTGGAACTCTGTCCCCAAGAGATGCTCCATGCAAAACAAGGCCTGGGTCACACAAGCGCTAAGAATGCAGCCCCGCCCTGCCCTGCCCCCATTTGGAATCTCCAGAAGGGCAAGAGCACTGTAAACGCTCTGAGAAGTCCTGCGACACAGAAACCTGCTTGATGGGGCGAGGCTGCACCTACCGCTGAGGATTTGGGGAAGGTGCCTGCCACGGCCCTGGCCTGCGCCCTGCAGCGCCTGTCCCACTGAGGACACAGGCTGAGGCTGGCAGTCTGGCCATGGGCCTTGCTTGTGTGGGAGACACATCTGGAGCAGATGTTTACCAGATTAAACTCAGCTCCTGGAAGACCTGACGAGAGCTGAGAGGGGAGCCAGGAGCGAGCTGGGGGAGAGGGAGCGGCCGGGGCAGGGGAGGCCTGGGGGCTGGTTAAGCCACCGCAGCTGTCCCCTTTAATCGGCTGCTGTTAAATGTTTTATAGGGCCTCATTTTGGTAAACAGAAGTCTGTAAATTCCTCCTTCCCAGACGCCGTTTCCCAGGCGCGGATCTCCCTGTGCCCCTCGGGAGGTCCGGGCCTCTTGCCCATCCGCTCTTTGGGGGGAGCCGGCGTTCTGCTGGCTGAGGAATGGGCTCCTTCCTGCCCGGCGCCCTCGGGGGGCCGTGGAGGGCAGCTGGCCATGCGGCCCCCCTGCTTCTGCCATCCAGGCCAGGGAGCGGGGGCAGGAATCTCCCAGGGGCCCCAAGCCCAGGGGCTCGCTGGCTTCCCCCATCTCTAGCCTGCCTGGGGCCCCACCCTCTGCGGCCCTGGCGGGAGGGATCTGGGGGTGGGGGGCAGAGAGAGAGGAAGGGGTGAAGAGGTCCTCCCAGCCCAGCACTAGAAAGGCTGCTTTCTTTTTCCCAACAAGACTGTACTCTCTGAATTGAAGAAGAAAATAAAAGATGACTTTTATGAATCAGAGCAGCTGTTTCGGGGCAGAAGCCAGGGCTGCTGTGCGGGGTTCAGGAGCCACCAACATCCTAGATCAGGCTGCAGATGAGGCATTGTGCCTGGGGTGGGGGGATCTGGGGGAGGGCTAGGGGGACGGGGCAGAGGCCCCTGGCATGGCCAGGGCAGGGTATGGCTGGG